TATATATATATAAAAACACCGAGACAGTTACAAGTATTGCCGACTTTCATTTTTTAGCTGTCTCATTTTTCAGTTGGCTCTACCTGTACTATCAGATGTAATAATTAAATATGTCTTAAGAGGCAAGAGGAATGTTATGGAGGTTGAAAATTTCTTTCTTAACCAGAATGGTATACAAACTTTACTGAACATTTTTCAGTTTTCAAGTAGAAACAGAAAATTCCAAGTGAAGTGGAAAAAATAAAAACATTGGTTTAAAAGCCAAAATAACATCAAAGGTTATTTTCCATAAAGATGAAATAAAATTAGACCCAGCTCTTTAAGGTACCTTGCTCTCAAAATTCCAGATCCTAAGTCCTCCATTCAAAAGACAAAGCACTGTGCTAAACTACTGCTGTCAGTTTAACCAAGTGGACACAACTGGAGGCAGCAGAAACAGATGACCTGAGCAGATATTTAACTAGCAGATACACTACTTGCTGTTTAACTGCAAGATGGACCAGCTATCCATGCTGAGACACAAAAGGGAATTTGATTTCACAGGTTTGAAAAACAAGGGTCAATGTTACCTTTGCTCCTGCTGTGTTTTCCAAACATGTTCAATCTTCTGGTTGCTGGTTTTGAGTGAGGCTTTTGTATACATTTCTAATCTTTTCCTCTTAGCTAAGAGAGCCTTGTTAATGTCAGCTAAAAATCAAAGAATATTTAGACATTAAGCATACCGACATTCATTGTGCCTTTTATTAAAACTGATGGTGAGTTATGCTTTGGAGAAGCGAACAAGGTGTGTTCTAATGGAAAGAAGCTAATGAGATCTGGGCTCCTGGCTGCTGTGTCATGTCCCTGCACATGCAGTTGGCACTGGTGTGAGTGCTGCTTTCTTAACCCCCCATACACCCTAATTTACACCTGGCCTCTGGAGTTGCAACTACTCATTGCCCAGCCCCCACAACTACTGTAGCATCTGCTTTGAGTCCCGCCTCTCTCAGGGTGCACACCAAACAGGACCTACCATGATATGGCTCAGCTTTAGCTTCTTTCATTCTGGGGTGGATGGTACTGTGCATGATGTCAGGCTGCCTCTGAGCCGGCACACACAGCGAACTGAAACTGTCCAGCAGTTTGAACTCAGGGCAGCTGCAGTGCTTCATTGTGTACATTTAAATCAGTTCCTTACACACTGTCATCATGTGTTCCCCTACTCATTATTGTGGCCCAACATGCACTTCTAACATATCATCCATACAATAAACACACATATATGCTTGAAACACTAGCAGCATTATCCAATCAGTTTGCATTGCATATCTTTCAAACACTGTATTTGGACATCTCTCAGCCTGGGAATTCTCCATCCACAGCCAGAGACACCTTGCACAAACAAGACTGAGCACAGACATTTTGCTCTCTCCTCTAGTATCTAACGATGTTTCAGTCACACAATCAGAATCCTCATTAGTTTAGCTGCATGGCTGCACTGCCACCTCAGAGTTTCCAGACCTTCGAGGAATTTAGTTATGCTGACACTTTTTTTCCTAGAAAAACTACAGGGTTCAGAGTAGTGTTCAAATTGCTTAGGTTTCAGAAATCTATTAAAGGTAGTACGTGATTACTGTCACTGTGAACATACTGAATAAGTGAATGATAAACTATTTTTCACACTTCGGAAGAGACTTAGTACTTTCACAAAAGTATTGAAGTTAATATAAGTTAGTATGTTTGTTTCACTCTAATTTACATTTGGAGATTCAACAAACAAGTCACAGCTTAAGGTTAATACAGCAATTTCTTTTCCTTCTCACTGTAGATTTCAGGAAACATCTGTCAAATGTTCCCTCTGTCATTTGCTGAAGCATCTGCCCCTGCTAATGCCAAACCTATTATCTTTGAGCAGACAGCATCCTCTCTCTGATCTATTCATTTTCCTTCTATCCTGAGTCTGCATCAACAAGCAATCCTAGCTTTCTAACACTGAAATCCTCCTCCTGTCTAGACTACTGATAGCTTTCTGATATGTACCTTAACAGCAAAAAGTCTTAATTAATGAATTAAGGAATTCCTTGAACTCCTCTTTCACCTTAAGATTTACATGCAAGTAATGACTGTGTACAGCATGTTCTTATGCATACAATGGAAGTATTAACCAGCTACTGAGTATGTAACACTGGCATTAAGATGGTTTCCTTTCCTTCCATGGCTTTTCTCTATGTGTTTTTTCTCTAACCTGTCAGCTCTCTAGAATTCAGCTGGAAATTTAACTCTTAAGTAATGCCATCTGAGGATCTGATTGTGACTAAACTGAATCAAACTAGGTGACATGCATACATACATGTCTCATCACTTACCTTGATTCTTCAGCTTCTCTATAAACTTGCAGTCTTCTTCCCGACTGCTGAAATTCTCTTTTCTACTGATTCCCTGTTCTCTAGATTTCTGAAGGTGCAGAGTGCTCCCTAGCTCATTCTGTAGGGCAACTACAATCTACTTCCAAAATTCCTTGACTGGAATTAGAGCTATTCGTTCTGAAGCTTTGAGCAACCTGGTCTAGTGGAAGGTGTCCCTGCTGATGGCAGGGGGGTTGGAACTGGATGATCTTTAAGGTCCCTTCCAACCCAAACCATTCTATGAAATCTATATCAGTATTTACACGCCCCTAATTTCTTACTCAAGTCTTGCAACCCCCAGTCTCTTCTACCTCGTTGTAACAAAAACTTGAGTAAGCATAACAGCTAATGCACACTGTCCCTTTTGTCTGCAATATGATGACTGCCTCTTACACCCCATCTTAAAATTGGAATTGATAATCAAAAGCACTCATGCATTTTCCCTTTTTCCTTTGTAATTACCTATACTTACATCTCACTTTATATGCAGTTATTTCCTTCTCTTCTTTCTCTTTGCTCTACTTAGATATAAGGTTTTTTTAGAAAAAAATGGGTTTTTTTCAGAAATGCTGAAAAATGCTACAAAGAGTGGTCATTTTATGTAAATCTTGAAATTTATTTTATGGTAAGGAATCACTGCCAATTCTTCAACTTAAACATGAATTGTTTTTTAATTTATTAGAATGTAAACGTACTTACCTCCAAATCTTTCCAGCATATTCTGTACTTCACCCCTACAAAACAGTGTTTAAAATTTTCATTTGCCTGTTTTCTACCTTTAGAATAAGGCTGTTGTATGTGCTTAAAACTGATTTTATTCACGTGCCTATTACTTGCAAACAGTGGCAGAGCTGCTATTCTACAAGATAAAAACTGACACTCCTTTTCTCCTTCAAGAGGTCTCTTTTTTTAGACTAATTTGCTGTTTTTTAAAAAAATTACTAGAATCTAATTAACTTACTCCTCAGTAAAAAGGCAGTATTAGGCATTTAAAGGGTCCTGAGTGAGGGAGGACAGTAAATAAAATTGATCATTCCCTATACAAAAAGAAAACACAGAAGGTACTTGGAACATGACATGAACAAACACAAGTCCATCACAGTTAGCATGACTGCCACAGCAAGAAAAATCCAAGACAAAGAGTATCAGGATTGTTTTTGCAATCCTTAATTTTGTTAAGATAACAACACCAGTGTGTAAGGCCGAGGTACAACAGCTGAGAAGTCAAAAAAAGGACCTAGTGTGTAAAGAAAATGTTTATCTTGTTTTTATATTACTTTCTCCACAAGATCCCAATTCCTTTTTTGAAGATTAAAAAAAAAAAAAAGGAAAAAAATATCTTCAACTCAACAGCTAGAATCTTGCTAAAAATTATGTCAACATACACTATTTTATGAAATTGATACTGCCCATAAATACTGGATTTTCTAAGATTATTTCTAAAAATAATTTATTTTCAATGTAATAGTTGGATTATCTAAAGTACTGTTAAAATCTTCAAACAACTAAGATCAGAGGGAAAAAAATAATGAAACTATCAACAATTTAGGATAAAACATCATCTTTTGAAAGAAAGAATTTTAAGAACTCACACAAATATATCAATTTTTTAGGGAAGTTCAAATATATCTACAAAAAAAATGCAAAATTACTCGGTTTTAAATGTTACATTTTCTCTTTTTACCTACAACTACTGTATTATCTGTTACCTGGCTCTGAATCAACTACTAAAAAAAAAACCCCCAAAAACCAAGCATAGTGAATAACTGAAATCAGTATCTATGTAAGACTTGATTATTTTGGGGGGGGGGAGGGTGGGAAGAGAATTCTTAGCCTTACCCCACATCATCTGGAACCACATGAGTAGTCACCAAGGCTCTTTTCTTTCCATGCTTGTCCATTATTGGTGTTTCACCTTAATACAAATTTCAAAAAGATTTACAAAAATATCTTATTTTGTGGAGGTGATTTCAATTATAAAAGTGTAATTACTTTTCTGTAATGCCACTTCTCTGAACATGTCTCATGGGTCTCAGTTCCCATCCATAACACATGCAGCTCCTACAACTTTGAATCTGGAGCTGACAGATGGTGAGTCACTCTGCAAGGCTAGATTTGAGCTGGCACTGCCTTGAGCTCCTCTAGACTGGTCTCAACCAACTTTAGTTTCTGTCTGCTACTACACAATTACTCCCAACTCCCAACATAACATTCATTAGAAAGGTGAAAATAATCTAAAAATTGAAAAAGCCCAATCTGTAAGAATTCCATTTTACTGTAAAATAAGTACTGAAATTGTGTACTCTGACCTTTAAAAAAAGCAAAATCATAAATAGATATTTATAGTCTTTACAAAAAATAAAAATCCTTGGCTGTCACATTTCTATTAACAAGAAGGCAGGGGAGAAATTTAGTCTGAACAAGTGAAGAAGGGGAGAAATTAAGAGAAACAAACCCAGAGATAACTGCTGAAAGACAAAAAAACAGAAATAGAGTTACATCAAACTTTACAAAAAACTATCATGTGATGGAGAAGAAGTGACACTCCCTCAAAACCAAACAAGAATCCCATGGTTGACTTCCTTTCTTTTTTCCTCAACTTCCTCTGCTTCTTCCTCTTTCTTTTCTGGGGTTCAGATTCTTCCTGAGGTGCTGTTAACCCTGCCAGCATTAAGGCTCCAACTACCCTACGTGACTCAGCACTCCATACAGGCAAGCAGAGCTCTTCTGTTTTGATCTCACAATGTTATATATGCAGCCAGGTGATGGAACGATATGGCATTAAAATAAGGTAACAAAATCATGTAACAAAATCCTACTCTATTAAAGACTCCACCTATAATTTGAAGACATAATAGTGCACTATACAGAGCTATTCTATTGTGTTCTCTTCTCTTACCAATCAAAATCATAAAAAAGGAGGCTAGCTGTCACAAACATTATGAACCATGCTTACTCAGACACTTGCTAACACGTGTCTTCACTTCTGCTCAGAGTCAAAAATATTATAACCTTCACTTTAAAAAAACCCCAACCAAAATCATATAAGCACCTTCTCTAATATCTTCCTCTGATCCACTCAGCTCTTTTCTTTCCTCCTGAAAGTCATAGGCAGCTATGGCTTCATCTTCCTGTGCTGGTTTACCAGCTTTTCCTCCATGCTTTCTTCTCGGTGGTGCCATAATGAGAGTTTCCTCCTACTGAAACGGTACGTTGTATTTGTTACACAACTTTCCTCACAGTACTTTGAAGACACATATGTTTTCGTGCTTACATTGACCTGTTTATGGACACCCCTGTAACAGTCTCCACCTGTAAGGATATTCAAGCAGTAAAACTGTTTCAGTTTTGAGGTAATCCATAAGATTACCCATCAGTTGTGTTTTGAAGAAAAGGGTAAAAAAAAAACCAAAACAGGGCTGGTAGGAACATACTTGATTCTGATTAATAACAAAGAAGTAAATTATGCACTTTCTTAAGGTGCCTGCCTGCTTGGCTTCCATTATATTTATTATGTATTTTGTCATAGCCAGTACTGCATTCCCAAAAAGCTATGCTAATATTCTATTTTACAAAATACAGAAATGATAAACCATAAAGAACAATCTGATTCTACAAGCCATCCCACACTAGACAGACAAATACACATACACATGCCATTTTTTTTAAATCCTTGGCAACTTTCTGAATTACCTTTATTTTTAGCTATTATGCCTTTGCATTCTGTAATGTAACTAATGCAGTTTCTGCATCTGTAAATGTTTTAAAAATATAATGTCCTCTTAAAAAAATATTCATTTATTTAATACTACTAACTTTTATATATTGTGTATTTTTATAAACATTTAGGGGTAAAATATCTATTTAGAAGGAAAAGAGCATAGCTGTAATTATTAAATGGATAAGTGACAAAATAAAACAATTTTTTTCCCTTATCAACAGCAGAAATATACAAATACAACAGGAAATAGCAAGCTACTGTCCTTGCTGAAATATTTCTTGCTATCTTTGATCGCAAAGAGGCGTGAAGAATTTCAAGTTAAGTATCACATGACATATACTTTTAAAAATCCTTCAAAATATAACAGGATTACTTGGAAAGATGGAAAGAGTACAGGAAAAAAAAATCAGCTCTAGGTATCCTGTTTTCCAAACTGAGCAGAACATTACTCAGCAGTGGATAAACTTCGGCTTCTACAGGCAATTCAACACAGCTAGAAATATCAATAGGTTTTCTACAAGCCAGAGCAAAGATAGATCTGAAAATTAAGTTCACACGCTGAAATTGTGAACTCAAGTAAAGGCCTTTTGAATTTTCAGGACTGTGAAGTCCCCCCAACATTAACAGCTGTTCCACACACCCGAGTTTCCCATTTCTATTTTTTTTAATTAGTTGTCCATAGCTATGCAAATATGCTTTTTAAACCACATATTATGTGGTTATATACAACATGGTCATACTAAGCTACTATATAAGGAACATTGCTTTTTAATAGCCAGCTTTTTCTCTGGTTGATGCTTCTCTATATTGTATGAAGTGAAAATTTTTAGACCTTACAAGTTTCTTTTAAAAAAACCCAAACCAAAACGGCTTTAAATTATTAATTGGAAAATCAAAAGCTCTTGCATTAAAATTATCCTCAGATGAGAGAGATTTTTTAAGGCTCATTCTGCTTTTCAGCTACTGCGGCTGTTGATTTAAGGAGGAAAGTAGTGATACGGCATGTGGCTGCGCACATCTCCGTGCTGCTTCAACTTTAAACTGCAAACGTCAACAGATACTTATTTACATATATTGTATCTTGCATATGGGCACCTTTCTTTGCACTGAAAATCAGTGTACAAAGCAGAACTCCCCTGTCCCTCCAGACGCTGCTAATCAGTCTCGCCACCTCACGACCCCACACAGCCTTCACCCATCCTCTGTAGCTACCTGCTTTAGCCAATTCAAGTACCTTCAATCCACAGCTGTGTATTTAACAACGATTTTTCAGCGAAACACGGTCCTTTTTTCACCCTGCCCCAAAAGAGGTCAACCAGTATTTGTGTGAATCTGCCCTGTGGGGCTTTCCACTGTGGAGGCCCACCTGCTTCTGCCTCAGAGCACGAAGGACCTGGGCCCGCGCCGCACCACTGCTTGCTGCCACAGCAGGTTTTGAGGGGAAGCCACCGGGGAGTCGAAGGCTGAGGGGCAGCGCGGTGTCCTGACCCTGTTCCGTACCCTCCACCCACGCACCTTTCACCCCTCTGCCCTGTAACGGGCTCGCTTTCCACTGTGGAGGCCCACCTGCTTCTGCCTCAGAGCACGAAGGACCTGGGCCCGCGCCGCACCACTGCTTGCTGCCACAGCAGGTTTTGAGGGGAAGCCACCGGGGAGTCGAAGGCTGAGGGGCAGCGCGGTGTCCTGACCCTGTTCCGTACCCTCCACCCACGCACCTTTCACCCCTCTGCCCTGTAACGGGCTCTTCTCCACTCTGACCGCCCACCGCGGCTGCC